TTAGCTACTCTGGCTCTGCTGAAGAGAAAAGCTGGGAGATTAAGAAGAAAAAAGTTAAAAGCCAAGTCATACATCATTAAATAGCCTCCAAATCCTTCATAATGCATGCCTCTTTCAGCATGTTTATAGCACATAGACGCAGAATACTTAAAGGTGTTTTTTTTTAAGTTAAACTTAATTTGAAATAATGTCACTGGGAGGGAGACATTATCTGAGATAGTTCAAATGGGCTGTTACAGAATTTAATCTTGTAGTTTAATAGTTTTTAATATAATAGCAAAATAACTCTGAAACAGTAGTTTTTGCCATACTGAAAATAATTTAACCATAATTTATGTATTGTGTTAAGAAACAGATTTTTCATCAAAATAAACTATTTTATATTCAGTCATTTTTCAATCTTGATTATAAATATAGGATTTTTTAATAAGTGGAGTTTTTAAGGAAATCCTTCCTTTATAAATTTTATCCAAACTTAATAGATTGAGTCTAAAAATAGGATGTATTCATTTAACAGCTACATAGTAAGCACCCATTAGGAGGAGTCATCATGGATTATAAAGCTACGTTTATATCACTGCTCTTAATTAATTCACCATCTAGAAAACATGTGATTAATCAAGGCTACTGATAGGCGATTGCTAAGTACCATTTGTCAGAGACGTACAGAGGGAGAAAGGCATAACTGGAAGCTTATTGAAGTCAACGCTCCCATTAGATTGTAAATTTTCAGTCCTGATAGCAATTACATGATCTCCACCTTTCACTCTTCAATATCTAACACAATGTCCTATATGAGTGCTGTTAGGGCATTCAGCAGTTCCCACTTATAGCTGCCATATACACAACACAATGAAACACTGCCTGGTCCTGTGCCATCCTCACAACTGTTGTTATGTTTGAGCCCATTGCCGCAGCCACTGTGCGTCCAACTCCTTCAAAGTATTCTGCTATAGCAAATGTAATGTCCTCTTCCAAGGACCGGTCTCTCCTGATAACAGGTCCAAAGTGCGTGAGATGAGTCTGGTCCTCCTTACTTCTAAGGAGCATTCTGGCTGTACTTCTTCCAAGACAGATCAGTTCATTCTTCTGATAGCTCAGGTATATTTAATGATTTTCACCTGTGCAGACTCTAAGGCATCAGTTCTTTTTAGGCTTTCTTAGTCTTTGTTCAATGTTTCATGGATATGAGGTAATTAAAAATACCATGACCTGGGTCAGGTGTTCCTCAACAGTAGTGCATGGAGCAGGATCAAAAAACACATGTTCGAGAGTCTAAATCATCCTGGGACAATCCACTGATATCATGGAGTTGGATCTGAACAAATTCCTAAAGATCCGAGTTATCCAGAGTAACAGATTTGGGGAAAGAGAGAACAGAGCTATGCCAGAAGTGGTATAAGGAAGGGATGATTCAATTTAGCTGTGGAATAGCACTGAGGAATCACAAACCATTCCTCTAGTTCCTGAATACTTCTTCCACCCCACTGCCATGACCCAGTTCTAACTTAGAAATCTGGCTAGATGGGAGAACACATATTGGTACTGATAGGATCTCTCAACACACAGAATTCAAGAAAGATAAACCCCTCAGGAACAGTAATGGGAGTAGAGCTATCAAGCAGGTAAAGGGATGGTCAGGGAGGGGGAAGGGTGAGAAAGGGGGAACCCATTACAAGAATGGATATTTAGTGACCATATTTAATGACCTTTCCCCAAGAGAACAACTAACAGAAATGTGGGTGAGGGGAGACAATGGACAGTATAAGATACAAAATACCAATATCAATATATATAATTAAACAATATGTAATTGATACATGAGGGTAAAAGGGTGGTGGAGGGAGGGGGGAAAAAGAGCTTATACCAAGGACTCAAGTAGAAAATATTTTAGGAGTGATGATGGCAACTTATGTACAAATATGCTCAATACAATTGATATGTGGAATGTTATAAGATCTGCAAGATCCCCCAATAAAATAATTTTTAATAAATAAAAAAATAAGACATCAATGCTAAAAAGGAAAAAGAACATCCCAGACCTTCTGAACAGGTAGAATGCAAAATGCAGACAAGGGAATGACAGGAGGCTGAGTGGGTGGGCAAGGGGCATGCATGAAGGATTCTAACGCTTTACCAAAGAGTTTGGATATATTTTATAAATTACTGAGAACCACACGAGAATTTTCAACATAACTAAATTTTTATTTTAGAAAAAAATCTAATTTTGGATAATTCTCTGAAGGTCCTGGACCAAGGCAATGATAGTAGTATAAAAATATATGTGTTGATTAAAGAGGGGGTGTAAAACAGAATAAAGGAGCTGGTGGAGAAATGAGTACTAACATCTTAAGAGAGAGAGTAGGTCTGGATGCGGCTCTAAGAATCCTGGCTTAACAAATAGAGGAAATAAGAGGAAACGTGACTGTGAAGGGGGTTTCAAAAAGTTCAAGGAAAAACCTATCAATTTTTTCTCCATGTTTTCTCCCACAAACATATTGAATGCCCCCTTCTATATGATAAAAGGAAATAGACATAGAAAACAACTTATTGAATTTTTAAAATACTATATTATAAAAGTTTAGGGTAAATACAGGTTATCTTCCTATATAGTTTGTAATTCAGACACAGAACTTAAAGAGGTAGACTGAATTAGTGAAGAAGTTAGTAACTAGAGGCAAAAACGGTGGGATACAGAATGTATAATGTGAAGACACTAGGTCACACTGAAGAGCTTTTAGACGGTTTTTTAGTCATTTAGGGACTCCAAGGGAGTCTGCTTTCATTGTCTCTTCCCATTTCTGTTGGTATATGCTAGTGGGTATTTAAGAAAACAAAAATCAATGCTGTCTCTTAAATATACAGCTGGTATGAGTAGAATATTGATAACTTAGCTACTGAGATGTCTTGTAGCACAAGATCCAGACAGTTTCCTTGGCATTATGCAGAGAATATGTTGGGAAGATGATAACATGCCGAAACACCAGTGACTTCCTCTGAAAACTGGAAGTGTTTATTTAAAGGAAAGTTTCAGACTAACAGGCTGAGTTGTTTTAGACATTAGGTAAAAACAGTTGTATACAAAAAATAATTCTGCATTTCGTAAATGGACCCTTTAGCTCATTCCTGTGAAATTAGATTATTTGAAAGACTTCTATAAAAGCACTAGGATTTAGAGAGAGTTAAATTAGGAAAAAAGTAACCCAGTAGACTTTCAAACACATGAGAAATCGTTGCACACTACCCAGATAAATTTAGCCCAAGGTTCCCTCTGGTGTTCAAAAGCAGGTATGTCAACTCAAATTCCAAATGCATCCTGTTTCGTATTCTAATCTACATTTTTCTGTATTTCCCAGGCACATTCAAGAAGAGACTTCAACTTACTTTATGTGCTCATTTAATTCTCTACACACTACCAATCATAATTTCCTGCATTGTATTTGTATTTATTTGTTTGGAAAGGATGTGTATTTGCTTTTCTTACTTCCCATTACATGGACCTTTCTAGACACTTCCTGAAAGGAATGATCACAGGAGAGTAGAGGAGAAGAAAAGGAAGGACAGTCCCATCTGCAGAGTGGACACTCTGTGCTGGACATGGACCCACTGAGCTAGGTGCCGAGAATACAATGGTGCACAAGGTGGGAAGTCCCCAATATGCTGTCACTCAGATCCTAGTGCCAACTACAGACAACGGACACACTGAAAATATGAGCACATAAAGAATAGCAGGCAACATTTCCCTAGGTACCTAAGAGGGGAAAAGTGCTGTTTCAGACTGTCCTCTCTGACGGTAGACCAGGATGAAATGAGTATACCAAAGGTAGATTGAGAAGTCAGAGTCCTGGTCATGGGAACAATGACCCTGACACAGCCCAGGAACCTCGAGGGCAGGTGGCTCCGCAGGGAATAGAACAATAAGGAGGACAAAACTGATCCGAGGAAAAACGACGTGATCCATCTTCCATATTTGAGGCATCACTCTGGCTGCTGTGTGCTGGGGCATAGGTGAGAGCAGGGCGACCGTAGACGAGAGCAGGCCCCTATGCTGGGGCATAGGTGAGAGCAGGGCGACCAATTAGGCAAAAAAAGATGAGAGCAATTTAGGAGTGGGTGGTGTGAGAGCAAGTATGCTAAAGAGCAGTTTAGAATTGGGTGGTGTGAGAGAAATTATAAAAAGTAGCCGCACTAAGATATAGTTTGATATTAGAACTAACATGATTTGATTAAGAGTATGTTGTAGGATAAGAGAAAAATGCAGGCTGAAGGATGACATGAGATGGGGAATAGTCAGGTAGACAGAACTCAAAGGATTTAATTTGGGATGTGTTCAATCGTTACAAGCATTCCTGCACCTTTGTGCATGAGAATTAATAATAGTTTAAAAAATATAAAAGGACAGGAACCGGATAAAAAGAACACACACAGTTATAAGTATTTGGAGTGGTAATGTACCCTAATCCTCCTGTATCCAAAGATAACAAACGGCCTTTCTACTCTGTTATGCTACTGCCTCTCCAAAGCTATGTCTTGCAGCCATCTGACTACACTGGATGTCCTCAGAAGCATAATATGGTCATACAGAACATCCCAGTTCTAATCACTTAAGTCCTCAACAGAAATATAGACCCAACTTCCTCTATTGGGAAGAGTGACTGGTAATCTATGTTCTCTCTTTGACCCTCTGAAAGCACTCCTCTACTGGTGGACATGGGTGCTGGGCGGGTTGCTGACCCATCTAGAACCAAGATAATGGACTCAAAAATGGGCTCCTGGGGTCCAAACTCCACCACGGTAAGGATGAGGAGCTTCACGGTCATCTTATTTTTATTTTGTGACATTACAAAACTTTTATCAAGGAGTATTTTTCTTTAAGGCTCTTACTGGCTGGTCACTTCAACTGTTTGAGAAAAATACTGAGAACGGCTTTTCTCCATCTGAGTTTAAATTCAGGCTCCTGCTTGTCACACATTGAATTTACAACAAGGTGACCTACTTACCTCAAGCCGTCAGCCACATGCAGTGCAATCCTGTGCTGCAGGGTTCTGGTGAGGCTGGCTTTGTCCTGCTGAAGGAGGCGATCCAGGGATCCCTTGGGGGCTAATTCCATCACCAACATTCGAGGTCGGATCCCAGCTGCCAGAAGCAATATTAAGCTGGGGTGGTGGAGGTGGCAAAGCACGACGAGCTCCTGAGAAGAGGCAAACACAGCATGACGGTGACCGACTGCCTCCCTGAACTGCATCCTCCATTACTGAAATCAGGATGTTCCTGGGGTGACTGGATCAGGCCAAACGTTATCGACTTCTTTTTCTAGCATCTTCTACTCCAAATTCTCAGTAATAAACAATTGGCTTTTAAAATGTATTTTAGATTTTAGTCTTAAAGTTCTATTTTCCCCATTTGTTGTACTTTTATCTATCGCACCATTTAATGCGGGAACGATGCTTGGCATGCAGTCATAGCTAATAAGTGATGCTCATCTTAATTTCATCCTACTTGTTTGCAAAACTCGTCTTGGCTCCAAATTCTGAGCCGCCACTATTAATTGACTTATAGTGACTAGAATCATTTATGAGAATAATGCCTAAACTTTATTGAAACATTCAACATTGCCTTCATCTGAAAAGCTCTAATGACTTTCTTTATGTTGGACTAAACTCTCACATACTTAGATGTTTTATGTGGTCACATTAAGCCTGCCCTGCTCACAGCACACCCCGCTGCTCACAGAGAGCCCATTTCTTTCTCCCTTCATTCATCAGCCTCTAGTCCCCCTGGCATGCTTTACAGCACATCTTTGTACCTGCTGATCCACGTGCTAGAACAGAAGCGCGTCCACCCTGCTGCTAACTTCTCTGGGACCCTCTGAGCATTCAGGCAGCCTCCACAGCCCTCCAGTCCCTTGCCTGGGGCTACCCTGACCCCGGTAATCCCTCCAAATGCAACTCTCTCTTTCCAACCCATTTAGCTTATTTTGTTCCCTATGATTTTTACACTAAGTGAAATTACTTATTTTCACAGTTTCACCTGTCCGTTCCCATAAAAATGTAAACTACTTGCTTGTTTGATTTAATCTAGTGCCTGAAGCCAATGAAGGAAAGATAATGAATAAATGTGTCACGGGGTTAACTTGAACGCAGTTTATGATCTGAAAATATGGCAAATACGTTTACAATTGGAAAGGGAGGGAAATACACAGAAATGTCACATGGGAACCCAAGAAGCCACAGATGCTTTCCGTTTGAAGAGCGAGGTCTCCACGCCCAGATCAAGCCTTCTAAATGCTGTCACATGAGGCTGCTTCACGGTCTCCTGGAAGGTGTTTTTGAATCCCACATATACGTTATTCTGTGTATTCCACTTTTTGCAGAAATTATAACTTTGTATTTATAGCTTGCATGACGCTAAATTAATTCATGTTTTAAAACTTATCTTTACATAAACAATGTTTCTTAGCAACTGGCTTCAAAGACCTGGAGTATCAGCGTCAGCTGCATTTATTTGTTCAAGTGCAGAGACGGCCGCAAGCTGAAGAAGAAAGGCTAAGGACCCCAAGAGGGGTTTGCCAAGAACAAAAGCTTCAGCCTGCACTCATATCTGCTTAGTAGATAAGAACGATTGTCCCCCTGCCTGATTAGTTCGATTGGTTCAAAGTGATGAGAACAAGTCGAATTAGCTTTGCAGTTTTTATAGGCACCGATAGAAACCTAAACGCATTTTCTCTCCTGGAAAAGTCGTTCACTGACAGCAACAAGAACAAGGCACGGAGTGTGGCAGTGTCCCTCAGTTCACGACCACTGGTGGAACGACTCTTCAAAGGCAGCTTTACACACCAATGTTTGTGTGTCCTTTTCAGAAGCATCTTAGACACACTTTTTAAGTTCTGGTTCCTCTGTCACGTCTCCGGTGGCCTACCTGCTGACACACTAATCGCTTCTGTGTTCACTCTTAGTGTTCTGCCTCCCACCAGGAGAACACATCCCATCCAGTTTGACACATTTCTTGAGGACCAATGACTATGCGGAAAAATCAATTTGTATAGGTCGACTTGGAATCAAATCTGTCTTGGCAAAAGTACAGCCAGAATATTCCTTCAGGAAAAACGGACTTATTTAAGGAAAATACTTTGTGACTGAATAGAAACCATTTATGTAAAGTTTAAGAAATACATAGTTCCAATATTTCAGTTAGAGTAGAACCATCAGTACTCGACATAATAGGATTTAGATGCGAAATGTTGAGAAAATTTTGCATCAGAGCTCAAACCAAACATCGGAATCCGAACCGACGTGAGTGATTTTTGTAAACAAAAGTAGCACATGTTTCCATCACTCGAGCATTAGTTTGGTGTTGTTAGTACGTTGTTTAAACCTTTTGCAGCTGTGTCCAAGCATTTTGCTATAATTTTCTTAGTTTTTGTGGCTTTTTGTACTGTCTTTAGATAAAAACATGGGTCCTAAGAAAGAGCTTTTTTTTAAAAGAATCACCATGATAAGGTACTTGTTAACCATGGTATCGATATTGTTGATGATAATTTAGTAAACCGTTTTAGAAAACAGTTAAGGAAATGCCAACAGCAGATCACATCAGGTTGTTGTTGTTTTTAATTTTAGAGAAAGTGAGCCAGGTCCTGGTGAAAAAAGGGGAAAGATGGGGAATAAAAACTCCTGAAAAGCAGCTACCAGTTGATTTTGCGGAAGGGGATTCCCCTTGTAAACAATGACTCTCTCTCTCCACACCTCTCCTCTTCCGTGTCCACAGCTCCAGATCCTCATCCATCTCAAGCTATGGGCCATATTGTAGTTGTTAAAAAACCTTTTACCGTTGTGTTTCTTATTTAAATTATATTATTTCACTCTGAATTTATTTTCTTTGAAATTTCTGTGTAATGTTTTGTATAAAAAGGCAAGGTTAGGGTAAAAACTTGGTATTGAGAATGGATTCATCTGTTTTCAGATATTGCTTATGGCAAAAATTGATTCAGAACTCGACTGCATTGCATCTCGACACTCCTTCTAGAAAGGATTGGCATAGAGGTCCGGGGTTCTACTAGACTATGAATGAAGAAAAAATTTGACCTATTAATATCAAAAGAAGCAAGATGGCAAGCTTTAGTCTCATGTACTTTGGACATGTTATCAGGAAAGACCAGTCAGAAAAGGACACAATGCCTGAGAAGTAAAGGGGCAATGAAAAAGAGGAAGACCTCAACATGCTGGATCGGGACAGTGGCTGCATCAATGGCTCAAACGTAAGCATAATTGTGAAAACGGTGTCGGACTGGACAGTTTTCCTGTTGTACATAGCGTCCCCGTGAGCCCACATTGGTTGGATCGCACCCAACAACCACATAATCGTCTAAAGATAGAGGCAATCGAGTTCACCGACTTGCCTCTGTATTTGCTTCTATATGCGAAACATTTATTACTTTATCCCTAGATGTACAGTGTGATTTTTGATACTAATAACCCAAATGTCTTAAGGCTATGTTGTACATATATCAATTGTTTTTGTTTTTCTGTATTCATAGTAATTACAATGTTGAAACTTTTAAAATTTTGCATAAATGATTTCGATTAAGTCACAAAGTATTTTTCTTAACTAAGTCCAGAAAAAAGTAAGAATTAACATTTGAGAAAATGAATAGATTCTGAGGTAATACAGTGGAATTGGTATTGGGTTTTATCTTGCCTCCTCCCTCATCCTTACTGTAAGTAAAAACATTGAGAAGAAAATCTCTAGCAGTATTACACACTTGATCTTATGAATCATAAAAAAAGTATGGCTAACAATGCAAAGAATAAGACTCCCAGCACCTTCACTGTACTCAAGGGAAACCTTTAAGTGCACCAAGAGAGCCTTGTTCAAACAGAAGAACGGGTTACTGCACAGTTCCCATCAGGGAAGGCATTTATTCCATCTGTATGCTGAGAAAATAAAGAAGGGCAAAGCATCAGGATTGTTAGAAGAACCATTCGCAACATGTATTAGATCCTCACAACTACACAAGCGGATCAATAAGTGATAAATGAGAAAAGATGTAGAAGTTGTGAGCACATCTCATTTCAACAACATCCATGGAAGCAGCAGACACAAACTCAAAGGATACATTGAACTGGGCCAATCTGCTGCAAAGACTTTGTTAACGTATTTTAAATGGCGTGCCCTGGACATAGAAGCTAATTGGGAAAAAATGTGAAGGTCAAGAGCAATCTTTTAACTGGCGACTATATAGAACTATTTATTCTGATAAAATATGAAATCCCAGAAGACACATTATTTTTCTTCTATAATTTACCATGAAGTCTGGAACCGAGATACTACCATGAGAAAAGCTATTCTGAAGAAATAAAACCAAAATAGGAAGGTTAAAAGAATTATTGTGGAAATTATCTAGAACAGTGGTTCTCAACTTTCCTAATGCCACGACACTTTAATACAGTTCCTCATGTTTTGGTGACCCCCCCCCAACCATAACATTATGTTTGTTGCTACTTCATAACTGTAATTTTGCTACTGTTATGAATTGGGTGACCCCTGTGAAAGGTTCGTTCAACCCCCAAAGGGGTTGCAACCCACAGTTTGAGAACCCCTGACCTAGAATCTATCATACCACAAGCACTCTACTTATTAATTATTTTAGAATATATAGGAAGAGTGCAAAATCAAGTATCCAGTTCTCTACAACAGGAAAATCGACGGCAGCTGTAAGCTAAACAAAACAGTCTCAAGTACAGGCTATTTCTTCCAGGGAAGTCTTTCTTGCTTTGGCAATATATGGTCCAGTTACACAGAGAGTGCAGTGTTGGTAGGTATGCCCGTCCTAGAGTGACCCCAGGAATAAACAAACCTACACACGTGCACAGACTACACACACCAGCTGTCTTTCACAACCATCATTCTTAGTTCAGAAATAAGAATATCCAAACCGGAAAACCAACAGAATAAAAGGGGCAAAAACACCAAAATGAACCATAAGGCAAATGACCTTGAAGAAACAGAGATAATATAAATAGAACAAGTACATTTTAACTGATATTACAGGAGTTTCTTTACAGTGTTGGTAATTCAAAAGCAAACATGGATGACATAAAGAAGAGCCAGAGAAAAATAAAGGATTTATGGAAATGAAAACTATGAGTATCAAAATGAAAGTCAATAGAAAGTCTAAATAATAGATGAGATAATTTTGAAACTCATTGGAAATCTGGAGGCAATAAGCAAGCAATTCCCATCACAGAAGAAATCAGGAGTAACAACTCAAACGTCAAAGTAGACCCAGAGGGTTCATTTTCATCCATCTAATATACATATATTACAGAAGGACTGATCAGAAACAGTGGATCATAATAATAAAGAGTGTTTATTATGGATCTCATCCATAATAAACCTGCATGTATGCTCCAGGAGAGCAGGCACGTGGGCTTATTTTACTACTGTACACCTACTATCTAGCCTACCTGTGTGTCAGGTACATAGTAGCTACTCAATAAAATTTATCCAATGATCAACAGTCATTGAAAAGACCACAAAGCATGTTAGAAAACATTAACTAAAGAGAATTTGTGATGAAATAATGAGGAATATATTATTATCCACAACCCAAATACAAGCATATCCTTTTAACATTTCTGGATGCCTTAGTAAAGGGAATATTCAAAAGGAAATTATAGCTTTAAAAAACAAATTAGAATGTACCCTATATAGGAACAAGGATCAGAGTCATAGTAGATTTCTCAGTAGCAATCATTGGTGCCAGGAAACAATGAAATTTCTTTCAAAATATCAAAGAAAAATTATTTTGAACCAAGATGTTCAAACAATCAAGAGTGAATACACCATGGTTGAGGTGAAAGTTAAGGTCGTTTTAACATGTAAGGATTAATAACATTTGCTTCTTAGACATCCTTCAAAACAACACACAACAATTTGAAGATACTTTTCAACATAAATAAAGATAATCCAAAACAAAATCAAGCCAGTGATCCACGAAATATTAGGAATGATTTTTTTTTAAACATCTCATTGCCATCCATTTGATGCTGACTCATAGAGAGTCGACCAAACAAGGTAGAGCTGCCCCTGTGGCTTTCTGAGACGGTGACTCTATGAGAGTAGAAGGTCTCATCTTTCTCCCGTAGATAGGCTGATGGTTTCAAACTGCTAACCCTGCAGGTGAGCAGTCCAATGAGTAACCCCAATTGTCATCAGGACTCCTGGGATAATCAAAGAGGGCTGAAAAGGAAAGATCAGATGAACCACCTTGCAGGGGTCTGGTAGCCACTTCTCCAGTTTAGAACGGGGTGGCATAAGGATTTTCCTCTACAAAAAAAACTCCTATTTTCTTACAAAGTTAAAATTTTAAGAACTTAATACTTAATTAAAGACATGATGAAAATATATGTATTTTCTCACAAGGGGAAAGGAAAAGACCATTGTGACAGTTACGGTTTATTTTGCCAATCTGGCTGATAAACACATGTGGATTAATTGAAGGGCAGAGAGAAATGGCTTGGCGAGCCTCACCTTTCTTGTTCTCGGGTCTCATGTTCTCTGATGGCCAGACCAGTGTGTGGCTGCCTTAGCTTGTTCTCTGCCTCAGTTTCCAAGCTATGCTACCTGTGGGACATCTAACCCATGGGCTGTGTCTCTGTAGTTTGAGGTTCCTTCAAGACCTGCTGCGGCATGCTACTGGAGTATACATCGCTTGAGCTGGGGACTGTCAGACTTATGGGCTTGGACTGGACTGGGTTGGGATGCTTTCTTAATGTACACTTACTTTTTATATAAAATTCTTTCTTATATACATATGAGTTTCTGTGGATTTGTTTCTCTAATCTACCCACACTAACACAACCATCATAAAGTCCAGGAAAGCCAAATAGCTGCATGAATATTAATGTGACCCAATATAAAAATCTAAATTTTATAATCTGGTGATGAAACACATAGAAATACAGAATCAATTTAACTTTGATATTTAGAATATTCCCCATTTTATGGGAAAAGATTAGTCACAGAAAGCTACATTTTCTTCTTTAAGAGTAGAGTGATTTACTTTAGGCATATACAATAGAAAATTTTATAATAACTGGTATTTATTGGCTTTCAGTTCTAAGATTAAACTATGTATAAAATATGGATGATTTAATGGCTGAATAGAATATAGATATCTTAAACTTTTTATTAAACTATTAGAATAAATTATAGAAAATAAGACTATGAAATAATTCGAATGAACTGTGAACAATAGGAAGAGGCTTTTCAAAGTTCATGGAAAAATATCATTATCTTTTAATGCCATTTTTCCAAGAACTTTTTGAAGTCACCTGGTAGTAATAATTTTCCTCACTCTATGTAGCAAGGCTTTAGAACATGTTGTCCAGATTTGAAGTAGCAAAAAATAAGAACTTTTAAATTACTTGAAGTTACAGTTGTTACTACATTAGCAAAACAAATGCAAGCAAATAATTTCAAAAATGGGAAATGGAGTGGGAAGAGAAATTGGAGACAGGATATGTTGGCTGAGTTTCTGACCTTGTGTGCTAAGGTATCCACAGAAAAACTCCAGGAAAGGGGAGCTAGAGCTTTAGCAATTAGGGCTCTGCCTTCAGATGCCTGACCTCTAATCAAATTAGCAATGGGAGATCATGCTTGAAAGGATTTCTTTCACTTTGAACCCAAACACCATGCTTAATTAAAAATAAACATCAATTTCCATGGATCAGAAAATGCAAGATAAACGAAGAAAACAAGATCTGAAGTCAGGCCCTTGCTAGGTTTCCAGTCTGGAAGGAGGCAAAGGCAGATGGTCTCTGACTAGTTTTCAGAGCTTGTTTGAGAAAGGGGGAGGGGCACACTACTAACAGGGCCAGACAGTTTCTATTTCTAACAGTCTAAGGTCATGCCCAGGGTTGTTGATTGAGAAGCCACACTTTAGTAGAAAAGCTAAAATATAAATATAGGTGTATAGAAGATGTATGAAAGAAATTTACATCCCATTTGAGTATTAAAATTAAAGGAAATCTAAAACCACTGGTTTCACATTGTTTTCAATAGGAGAAAAAATTTTTCATCCAGCAAAAACTGCAGTGTAGGAGTGGGGGGAAACGAAGGGTTCAGGGACTCTGGGGGAAATGTGTCAACAATTTGCATTTTTACAATTTCACACAAAACAAGACTCCCAGGCGATAACAGTGTATGGTTTCTAATAACAGTAATTGGAATTCTTACTTGTCTTAGCAGCCTAAGCGATGTATGTTTATTAAAAATCTTCACAGCCACTTCGTCTCCTCCATAGGCAGCTCGATAAACTGATCCAAAACTCCCATCGCCTTTTGGGGAAAAAACAAGGTACAAAGCACTTAAATGAATCTGCTCAAGCAGATAAACTAAATGTATATATATATGCTATAACTGCTGAAGACAATTCTGAACTACTAGCTTCATTGAGTCTAATTCTGGCTCTTCCTTTATTCCATGAACTAAGATAGATCTAAACATTTTGTCTCCAGCTTCCCAGTCTACATTCTATACGCTCGCCCCTCAATAATGGCATCTACCCCCAGAACTTCATCTCTTCCTATGGGCAGAAAACTCTTATCTGTTCATAGCCCAAGCTATCTCATAGACTCTATATTTACAACATGGGTTGCAGTTTTCCATTGGCAAGTTCTCCCAAATTTTAATAACAATCCATCAAAAGTCACATTCACCATATTTTCTCCAAACCGAATTTTACTCCCAACTTCCAGATATCTTATAAAAACAAAACTTTTGTTTTCTCACTGTGGGCTTGAAACCCAATCATTAGTTTTAACTCGCTTCGCCAAACCTACTCCCACAATTAAGTGGGTTGCTCTAAGTGGAAATCGACTCAGTGGCAGAGGGTGGCTGCTGCCTCACTTACACCTGTGTCTTCCTCTTTATCTCTGTAGAAAGAGGATAGATTTGGGTTCCTTGGTTCCTTTTGTCTAAACTATGGAGGACTCTCAAGTTCATTACCTCCAGTTCAACCTGGATTTTCCTGCCAAATTAATTTCACTGTAATTCCACTTTGATTGTGTCCCTCTCTATGGCTCAAAAACAATTTATTCTAGTTGCCTAATAAATGAAATTGAAATTCTGTCTCCTACATATAATGTGATCCCAAATTCCCTTTCTTGTTCTCAGCCTTTTTCTACTTCTGGATTTCTAGGCTCTGGTCTAGTAGATTTCACCCCAGTCCAGGCTGCACATACCATGATGGCTTTGTAAAAATGAATAATGTCCCTATCAAATATTCTGATTTAACTAGTTCCAGGAGGGACTAGATAGGGTTTTTGCTGTCCTCTTTAAACTCTCCAGGTGATAGTACTAAGCAGTTCTAACCAAACTAAAGAGCAAAATTTGCTAACTACACATATGCTTTGTAGATTCTGCATTCTAAACCTTTGTTTATGCCATTCCTTAAACAATGCTATTATTCCTTCCTCTCAACCTTTATGTTTATCAAGGCATAGACAATAAAGCTCATTCTCTATACTACCTCCTCCTAGAAACTAATCACCATGATCAGATACTCCATGGAATGTTGCTTTCTACTGATGAGCAGTAAATCCTCATTTGTACCACATTTATGAAACTTGTAACTCACCATATAGATTTGAATTAACATGCACAAAAATGGAAGAAAAGATACACTAATAGAACTTATTATTTCTTTTTTTTTAGAACTTATTATTTCTAAGTGGTGAAACTGCACATCTCTTTATTTTTAATTTTTAATCTATTTTGCACCTGTCAAAATAACTACATTTTAATTTCTATAATACACATATAAATGCTTATATTATTTTATGCTTGTAAATATATATTTTTAAAAATCAAAAGAAAATCACTCATTTGAATACATGTCTTCTACCTCCTACTAGATTGTAAACATGTTAAAAATATTCCTATCCCTCAACACTCCATAAATGCTCAACTTTCAGATTGAGTCATTAATGCTGCAGCATCAGGAGTTTGAAGACAGGATGAACGCGGCAGCCATGGTGAAGCGCTAGAACCAGCCAGAGGAGTGAATTAAAGGGGGGAAGAGGAAGAAAGCATGCAGAAGAGGAATGGGAAAAATGAGGAGAAGGGATAAAAACTTAAAGTACAGATGCATCTCGTCTGGTTCCTTTCAATTCAGAGAGCAACCTACACTAAAGAAAATGTTTAATGGAGGAAAAGGGAGGCACATGATCTAAGGAGATGTATCAGAATTTCATGTGGGAGAAGTAAAGATTTCTGTCTTTGAGAATCACTGTCAAAGAGTATAAATGCCCATATACTTCAGGTGCATTGAAGCAGAAAGAGTTGTAAAACTGTATTTGTGACCCCTCGGTAGGAAAGCAGATTGAAGGCAAGAAACCCTCCTCAACCCATCCAATCATATCTTTGAGATATCACGTATTGTGGCTCTCTAGAAAAAGAGTCCCTCAAAGAGGCAATGTACCCTACAACTCCTTGAACACAGAGTCCCCCATGCATCTATTTTAGAAAACATATTTACAAAAAAGTTTATTAAAATCCACAACTCTACTAAATTGTGTCATGTTAGTCACCACATCGTAGTTGCTATTTATTCAAGAAGGAAGGGATTAACAGAAAACCTGCAATTCAATTATTTTCTCTAAGGAAATGCGTTAGGGCCATGCATGAGTTCTACCAGATCTGCCTAGCATAGAGACACCGGGGAAATCTTTGAATGTAAAAGGGTATCTTTGATCTGTCCGCATCAGTGGTTCTGAACTGAGGACACTGCCTATTCTCCATCCCCAGAGACATTTGAGAATGCCTGGAGACACTTGAAGAAGGATCTACTACTACTGTCTCCTGAGAGCATGCTCAGTATCTGAGAAGACATAGGGAAGCCTCTTTAAAGCCAACAATAAAACACTACCTTGCCCCAAATGTCAATGGGTCTGAGGTTGAGAAGCCCTGTTCTAAATTTTGTTTCTTGTAAATAAAGATGAATTTATGGATTTCTGGGACATAAGACCATAGGATGAAAAATAACTATGTAAACATTTTCCTATCTGTATATTTAATGGAATAATATAAACACTGATGCTTCAAAGCATTTTTGTATGGACTTATTTGGAACATGTCCATGTATCTGAAGCACATCTAAATATAGGAATGGGGATATTTGTGGGAACTGTGTCTGATGGTTTTGGACTGCTGTAGAGAAGGATACATGATCTCTGGTATTTTTCTGTACCATTTGAATCACTAATTTGGTATTTGGTAAAATCTAAGATTCAGTTTTGACAACTCGACATTTTGCATAACTCCAAAATTAACAACATATTTACTTCCAGAGCCTCAGAACATTTAAATTCATTACAGAATTGCCAATCAGCATGATGAATAAAGTTACAAAGAAATTATTTATTTTTATATGCCAATTTCCAAATTCTGAATATTTTAGTTAATGATGCTATTCTCATATTGACAGATTCTAGGGCTTCTCTCCATGGCAAATTATTTACAATTAAATGTAAACAAGCACAACAATAAATTCCACAAAACATAAAGCCAGCATCTTCTTCAACAGTTTATATTAAATTAGTCCACTAGAATGTTCAGAACTTAAGTCTGGTCCCAGTTTAAACTTTCTGGAGGTTTTTTTAAATGACAAATTAATGCCCAATCATTTATTTTACCTTATTTTTGCTGTTGTTGAGAATGTACACAACATACACCAATCCAAGAATTCCTACATATTTAATTCAGTAATGTTGATTACATTTTTTAAGTTGTAGAGCCATTTTCACCTTCCTTATTTAAACTATCCCTGCTCCATTAACAGAGACTCACTCCCTACTACATTTTCTATATAATCTTCGAAGTTGCTACTGTCAAGAAAATTAAATTTAAAAGATTTTTTTAATGAGAATTTAGCATGATCATACTGAGTAAGAAAACTACTGCTATGAATACACCAAGCTCCACTTTTGGGAGGTACTTTGCTTACACTGTTTGAGGCTGAAAATGGTTGCTTCACATAATTCAATGGAAATTCTCCTTATTTGCCTCCCTTATCCCTGACAATTACAGTGAATGCAAGGCCATATTTCAGAAATATGATTGTCTCCTTTCATCTCACTCCTAGTCTACATAAATCGATGAAAGCAATTCCAAATGCGTAACGATATTGTAAAATATATAATTTCAACAGGAAAAACATTATAAACAGATATGTGGATACCCCGACAATCTGTAAGAAAAAGAATCTGTAAAAATGGTGTGGGAGTAACATCTGACCTCCTCTCCCATGGAAACTGATTCCTATGAGACAGAGATCAGACATGGCTCCACCACTAGCCTTTTTCACAATTCTGACATCAACTCGCCCACCATAGCACTTTCTACTTCTCTGCTTACTCTAATAATTACAATGGCATTGTCCACACAGAACTCACAGACAATACAATTATGAGGTCTTTAGGGAAGTAGCAGGTTACAATTCAGGCTCAAGAATGCTCATGATGTAATTCTTTATTCAGGATAGCCTCCTCTCATACTTGCTTGTAAACACACTTCTCACTGTTCCTCGGCCTTTAGGCCCCACGGCCCCTTGTCCTCTATCCTGGTCCAGGCAGTATTTAAACCTCTTTGAGCTCTGCTGATTAAGTCCCCACAGTAACCCCACTTTGTCAGGAATCTTCTGCCCAAAGGACTCAACTGTAGTAAACCTATCCCCACCCCCACAAGTGCTTTTAGGCATCCTAGCCTACCAGCAAGCCTCCTGCCTGGGCACTCAGCTTTTTAGGTCGGTGGATCTGGAAGCCCACTGCCCTGTCTCCTGCTAGTCTCTTGATTCTACTGCCTATATTGCTGGTTTCCACCATTCCTTCCTCACTGTTTTCTGGGGTCAAAACTCTCTGTCTCCTGGATTGGAAGATTTTCAGCACAGGGATCACAGGTCCAAAATATGTGCTCTATTCATAGCTCATCTCCCTTGATGGTGATGAAATCCCCCTTTCCCGCTCTGGGATGATTCCTTTCAAGACTAGTAGAATGGCAAAACTAACCAATCCCAATGCCAGTTCCATACACCTCATTTGCATGGTCCCATCCCTCACAAGGGTGCCACCCTCTTAGTTACTTTATTAAGAATTCAATATTCAATCTCTTGTAGGGGGCCACAAGTACCTCACATGTGCATAGCCCTATCCAGTAATTTGGTGGGAGATATAAAAACTGTGGTCATATTAATTAATTCAACACCCAGCAGGATCGAATCATATTTGACTATATTCTAAATTATAAGGAAAAAATTGTCAGATTTCACTGTGTTCTAATTTTTATTCTCCAACCAACAAAAATGATTACCTAAGAGAAACTCCGGAGCTTGCTCAAATTCCAGTTCATCACTATTCAACATAATATTTCTAGGCAGATCGGCCAAAATCAAATCAGGAGCAATCTGCGATATTGGAATAGTGAGCCTTGGTTCATCTGGATTTATTAGGAGGTCTCCTGAGAAGATGATAGAAGATTAAAATAAGGACAAAACTTTTCATTCTATAAATCAATTTATGCTTTTAATTTACTCAAGCAACTACATATGTTATCATTTCTTATGTTCTGCTTAGGTTTTATTATCGATCGTTTCTTTTTTTTCTTTCGAGACTTTCAAAAGATTCATTCAATATCCATTTGGAATATCTATTGATCAATTTACTTAAAATGCCAGGTCTCACGCTATCAGAACTACCTTATTCTACCTGACAGATTGCTGAGAAGGAAGCTAGCCATGGTCTCCTTCTGCCACATCGATTGGGTCCTTGTGGTATAAAAAGGAGCCCTGACGGTGCAGTGGTTAAGTTCTGGGTTACTGGTCACAAGGTTGGAGGTGCGAGCCCTCAAGTCCCCCCACAGAGAAAAGCTGAGGCAGTCTACTTCCATGAAATTTTACAATCTTTGCAGGGCAGTTCTGCTCTGTCCTATAGGACTGCTGGGAGTCACAATCAACTCGATGGCGGTAAAATGCTATCCAACAGGCATGGTGGTAAATGCCTTCAAAGCATTGCCTATTTTAATCCTGGCAACAATTTTATGAAGTAGGCTTACTTAGTATTCCATTTTGCAGATGAGGGTGGGCTGCTTACAGAGACAGTACTCAGACCTTCCCTCAACATATTTTTTTCTGAATCAGGAACATGCAATCTCGATGTTCTATTGGTAATAAGCATAATCTATTTTTCTGAACTGTCACTACAATGGAGTTCATTAACGTTCATCTATTATAACCAAGTTTAATTTTGCATTTATTACAAATTTCAGTTCACAAGTACAGCAAGATCACGTAAAAAACCTTAAGAAGCATTAGTTTGGAGTCACCACATACCTTCTTCTGCTTTCTTCATCAAATCATCAAGTAATATTTTTTGATGTTCTTCACCATCATTAAAACTATACAATGCCCATTTCTTCAGCAGGGTTTCTCCTTCACCACAAATATCAATTTCCAATAGCCCAGGAAACCATTCTTCCATGAGAGAATCAATGTGATCGACAACTTGGCCCAAAAGAATACACCCTACATAATCCAAATAAGAACTCATCAACTCCCTGTCTATATTTAAACTGTTAAACGGGTGGGAAACGGGGGCTACAAAGTTAAAATAAATGTTTCTAATTCATTTATGGTACAATTCAATATTTTGGATTCCTTTTTCTTACCTTTTCTACCAGAAGGAACTGTGATCTTTAAGAAGCTTTCTGTGCGATAATCTAAGACTTCAGATCCTACCAAGCAGTAAGCTTCAGGAGACCAATTCAAGTAGATACCTTGTCGCCAGTACAGCCTGTTTGGCCGAAGAACTCGTTCTGAAGGAAGTTGAAAAGAACCCAAGTGAATCTGTTAATTATTACCTATTTCATATATTAAAGGGGGAAATGCTGTGCACACAAGTGACATGAATGCAGGCGAGTTCAGTCTGAAAGACTGTATTGGGCTTTATAGTAATACATCCAAAGTCCTCATTCATAGTTACTAAATCTATTCAATATTTTATCTTGACTTTTTCAATAAAACAAATACCTAAGGTCATTTTGGTCTCCAGATGTAAAGTAATTGAACATGCTCAGAAGATGAAGAAAGAAATTCATTAGCTTTCATAGAACTGGAAAAGATATTGATGGCCATGCTAAGGCCCAATTGTTTTAATGTAGTTTAACTACCTATTTCGTATGGCACATGGCTAAGGTTTATTTCAGAATACAGTATTCTGCATAAAGCTGAATATTTAAAAACATATTTTCCTTTGGGAGTACTAAAACACTTCATTCTTCAAGATGGAAGAGTTAGTGTTCTAAACACTATTTTTCATCTCTCAGGGATTATACAGCAGATTATAGTTACTGCAATGCGTACCTTGGATGCTTAGGGCCTAGTACATTTGTTGAATTTATATGTCTTTTAAGAAAACAAGACAAGCAAAATCCCACAAACTTTCCCTCACTACTTTGATTATACAGCAGCCATTTCTTGTTTTTATTTGTTCGATTTATTTTCTTTTGGTTGCGTGACTCTAGTATACATTGAGTCTAACAATTTCCATCTTTTAAAATTGTTGCTCCTAGTTTGCTTTCATGTGGAAAGTAAGGTATTCATACTTGAAAGCAACAAACTCATAATTAGAACTCTGGGCAAAAAGAACAAATAGGCTTTGAGTGAAAATCTGACCATTTTTCTTCCTTGTTAATTGCATTTATTTATATGTATACATGTATCTGGCCATTCTGAGTTCGTATTGTCATATTTTCTGATTTTCAACTGCTTAGTTAACAAGTAAACTTTGGGAAATGGCCTATTAATGACTGTGAGTGATATGCTTTTTCCAAATCTCTCTAAATACTGTTTGTACTAAATACATACCTCTTCCTGAAAGCATGTAAGGTGAAATTTCAAGTAATCTACTGATTAATCTTGACCAAAATCCCATTGGAAAATAAGGCATTTCATACAGTCGGATAATAATTTCTGAGTTCTCACAGTGGGGCAGCTCTATCACAGGCCTGTGATCTGATAAACTGAAGGGAAAGAAACCATCATGATATGGCTTGTATAAAACAACAGACACCATCAGTAAGTTGAAGATAAATTTGTAAAGCAATTATCCTTTTTATAATTTTTTCTACACACTGTACATAAAAGATGCAGTAGTAATTTAACCAATTGAAATATCTGACTCAAAGGGAATAAAAGGGTGGATTTTTAAAGTCATTCTATGTACACTAATATATAAATTATTATAATTACTGATGTATAGGTAAATATTTGGAACATTACATAAAACTAGAAAAATACATATCTTAAGAAAAGCGTATCTATTTTTATGATATCATCCATTCACCTGTGTAAGTTGTACTTTTCAGTATGACAATACCTAATAACAATGAAAACAATTCCCATATACTTATAATCAAGAAGCCAAACCCTTTGCTATTGAGTTGATTCCAGCTCAATGCAGCCCTACAGGACAGACCAGAACTGCCCTACAGAGCGTGCAAAGCTGTCGATCTTCATAGAATCAGACTGCCACATCTTTCCTTCATGGAGCGGCCGGTAGGTTCCCACTGCCAGACTGCTGAATCGAAGTTGAGCACTTTAACCACTGCAACACCTCGGCTCCTCAGACGCTTAAAAAGCAACATGAACTATTTCTACAAGTCAAGGTGAGAATTTAGACCTCTATTGTGATGTTGCTGCCCTCGGACAAGTGTCTGCCATGATCATTTCCGATTCTATCAGATTCTAGAATACAGAAGCCCTCACTGGCATCAAGTCTATGCCTTCATGCCACACTCGCTGCCATGCTGGCAGCCCTGGAAGGGCTTTAACAGTTTGGGAAAATTCCTTCGAGAGATAATAGGACTTTTCCCGCACACTTTTGGAAGCCCACTCATACATGTATGTGTGTGTCTCTATATACACAGGTATGTACATATATAAAATCATCTCCACGGTTTATCTTTCGAAATAAATAATGAAGAGAGAATTGTTTCTTAAAGAACTTCTGCAACCTGGAAATAAATAGTAATTATATGCATAAAATAAGCCAGTGTTGTTTTCTACTTGGCTCCTTTGCAGTTAACCTCTTTAACTATATTGTGATATTTTAAATATCATTAACTGTACTGTAAAAGTATCAAATGCAGTGTTTTTATTAAAAGCAAATGGTAGTCTTCAATAAAAAGCTGATATAAAGCAATATATAAAACTCATTTAATATATGTATTATAGACCAGTTATTTTGATTATTAAAACAATACATGATTAATTTTATAACTATGATTTTAGTTACCTGCTTGGAACCAGTAAATATTCTTCTCCTATTGGCAAGGCAATCTGGAATTTTTCTAGGAGTTTGAAGTACTGTGACATGTAGTTCTTGGGAAATCTCTTCTTTGAAAGGAATTTTTCCACATCTCTGCGTGTAATAATTCCTTTAGGGTGTTTAGGATAGCCTTCCACTTTCACTGTCAAAATCTAAAGATTTAAACTCATATTACTAGAATTGATTTCTGATGAGCTAAGGAGTCAAAGTAGTTAATGTCTCTTTGGCCAGTGAAAATGACCAGAAAAGTTTTAATGTTGCTGAATTCAAACTCAATTTACCGACATTGTCAATTCCAATGCATGGTGACCCCATAGGACAGAGTAGAATGGCTCTGTAGGTTTCTAAGACTGTTATTCTTTACAGTCTTTCTGCTTCTATAAAGATCATTATCCTGAGAGGGAGCTCAAGGTGGCCATGGGATGGCACACAGAGAAACATTAAGACACTAGAAGTATGAGTGTAGCCTTCTGGGGCCTTCCATCCCAATTCCCATGAATGGAGCTAACTGAATAATCCTAGCCAACACTATAGAGAAGAGAACCACTCAGCTAATCCCGGGCAACTCACAGATTTGAGAGAGCTAAGTGATATCCATAAGTGGCTACCTTGTTAGCAAGTGTGCCAGCTACATTTTTGAGTGACTTGTTAAATAGCAATAAAACATAGAAACTTTATCTCAGTGTTTTCACTTGTAAAAGACCTTCAACATGCCTTCAACCTAGCAACTTATATTTAAGTTTTATTCAAGGAAAGGATTATCTAAAAGCTATTTCTCACAGGTATTTTTTTAATTGTTTCATTAAGGGCTCATACAACTCCTATCACAATCCAAACATACATCAATTGGGTAAATCACATTTGTAGATTCATTGCCCTCATCATTCTCAAAACATTGGCTCTCCACTTAAGCCCCTGGCAT